CAAGTTTTCTGTTGTTTGACGCAGATTCACCGAAAAAAGTTCAATTATGTGATTATTCAATTCAAAGTGCTGCAACTTCACAAGCTGTGATAATGTGCTATGTTGAAAGATCAATGGAAGATAGCTGGGAAGTTATCCCTGTTGGTTTATTATCTAATGGGAATGCTATGAATTATGTCCCCATTAAAAGATCTATTCGTGAGTTAGAAAGGAATATTAGGCTACAGAATAATTTGTAATTGTGTGAATTACTTTATAACGCTCAAGAACCAAAACATAGAGTATGTTAATCATTTTTCAAGAGTTTTAAAAGAGGTCCTTCATATTAATTTTATGTTAAATATCCGTTTAGTTTAAATTCTTCAGTTCAAATTCTTGCTAAAAAATCATGTAAACGTTTCAGTAATCTTATATAGTGTCTATGCAGCTAGCTAAATATGCTATAGAATTTTCGATTATTTTTTTATGTTAAATATTAATCATTATTGGTTTAGGTGAATTAAATAATAAAAAAAAAAAATGGTTTAAATAATCTATCGTTAAGAAGTTATTAGAGTTTAAAATTTTTTTTCAGGTGATGCAGTATTAGCATATTATTATACTATTTGCTATGTCAGCGAAGCTACCCGCATGTGTAATTTCTCGGAATTTCATTTACAGAAACGAACTTAATAAAATTTGATAAACTTGTTACCGTAAAGTGAAAATTAGAATTCCGGTTTTTTTAACTCCGCGACACTCATATCATTTATTCATTCTGATATTTTAACTCACATTATTAATACTTGATTTTTTTTCTAGAAAAAATTCCTCATTATGTTATTCGCTTAGTTTTTGACGGGTTTTGTCCCCCTTCTGACGGTTCCGTTCATTTCATCGACAATCAATGCATTTAACCCATCTCTATTTACGGCGATGCATTACGTACAATGGTGAAAGTAAAAAAAATCATATTATGGAATTATATTATGGTTTGTTATGACTTTACAGTAATAAAAAAAAATTTATGCAACTCTATCGACATTCGCAATGATAATAAAATAACTCTTTTAAAAAATCGGCCGGCTCTTACCATATTTCGGTGAATTCATAATGAAAAATAAAAAACTTGTCGATGCTCATTTAATGTTTTAATTCGAATAGACAGTAGATTTTATTGACCCAAACATTAGTAAGACAAAGTATAGCGAAGTATAATAGTTGCAATGATTGAAAATATAATAGATGGTAGTAAATTTACGAGGGAAAATAGGGCGACCATTAATGTAATATTAATTATACCGTAAATGATCTTTTATATAAATATAAGTCATAAAAACACTGGATAATCTAAATCCAAATAAATTCTGTAAAAGCCGAACACAAAGTTCGAATTAGCAACATAGTAACTCTTTGGGAACTGAAATTTTTGATATTTTTACATTCAGCGTAGGAATGGATAGAGTTTACTGTATTTATACAGGTTACCCTCGTTAATATCAACCTATTTGAATTGGTTTTAAATCATGTTGATAGTGATATTAACGAAAAATCATAT